ACACACACACACACACCATGCAAGCACACCATCATCAAAAATATAATGAACATCCCAGTCCCCGCCTCACTCCGCTTCATATAATTTCGCCGTTACTCACATCCCTTCGTGGTTGAGGATCCCTCGCCTAACGGATATTACGTCGGAAAAGGACAGCGCCGTAATCAGAATTGAGAAATTAATTAGAAACGAAAGGGGGGCAGATTACAGCTAGAATTCGTGGTTCGTCTACGATACAGGGAAGAGAATCATGGTGTCTGTGGAAGAATCATGTGGAAGAGGTGTCATGGCGTCTGTTTTGGTGATGGTTCAGTGAAAATATAACCGTTAAAATCATTATTTTCCATTCTTTTTTGAAATTTGAAAAGACCCAAATAATCGGTTATATTCACAAAGCATCCGTAACTTTTGTGACATCATCAAAATAAACCGTAACTTTTGTGACGTCATCAAAATAAACCCTATGTGTTCCCGTTACTTAGATTTCCAGAAGGGATACGGGATTAAATATATTCTTACACACTCGACCAAATATCTGTTCTTTCCCATGCTCTGCATATTTATTTTAGGTCAATTCTTTATCTCATTACTTAGAACTTCCTTCCCGTGTCCTGGACGAGTCGAAAAACTTTTGTGCGAATTGTCGACAAGAAGAATACGAGCTTAACTTAAATCGTAGAAGAGACTCCGAGAAGGAATTTGCGCGGGAAACGAGCGCAAACAATCGTTAAGTTGTTCGTTTCCCTTGAGAAATCCCACTTGAAAGATTTTTTTTTTTTTTTCTAAGCTTTCAAGGAAGCACAGGCGTTCTTCTTGTTCGTGACTGAAATAGAAAGTGGGTGTGGAAAAGTTGGAAGATTTGACTGTATCTTGTTCTTCTTGTTCTTCTTCTTCTTCGTTTTCTTCTTCTTCTTCTTCTTCCTTCTTCTTCTTCTTCTTCTTCTTCTTTTTCTTCTTCTTCTTCTTCTTCTTCTTCTTCTTCTTCTTTCTTTCTTTCTTTCTCTTTTCATTACAAACGCCCTCTCTCTCTTTTCGCGCATTTATATATACATATACACACCACCCACTCATATACACCCACACAAATGAATATATATTCTCTGTCTGTCTCTCTGTCTGCCTCTCTCTCTCTCTCTCTCTCTCTCTCTCTCTCTCTCTCTCTCTCTCTCTCTCTCTCTCTCTCTCTCTCTCTCTCTCTCTCTCTCTCTCTCTTCTCTCTCTCTCTCTCTCTCTCTCTCTCTCTCTCTCTCTCTCTCTCTCTCTCTCTCTCTCTCTCTCTCTCTCTCTCTCTCTCTCTCTCTCTCTCTCTTCTCTCTCTCTCTCTCTCTCTCTCTCTCTCTCTCTCTCTCTCTCTCTCTCTCTCTCTCTGCTCTCTCCTCTCTCTCACTCGCTTCGCGTTATGACAGTTTCATCATATTTTTTTAACGATTTTCTTAATTATGTTTCAAAGTGTGTACTTAACGAGATTCCAAAAACCTCGGTGTGGGATGTGCATGAGTGCGTGTATGTGTATATGTGTGAGTGATTATGTTTGCGTGTTTGTTTGTTTGTGTTTGTGTAAGTGTGTGTGTGTGTATGTGCGTGTTTGTATGTGTATCTGTGTGTGTGTTTGCATGTGTTGTGTGTGTATGTGTGTGTATGTGTGTGTGTGTGTGTGTGTGTGTGTGTGTGTGTGTTGTTATGTATGTGTCAGTATGTGCACGAAATCCCACTCGTCCTGTCCACATCTCCGCGCACATCTATCTGTTACTATGCTCATAGCGATCATTATCCCCATGACCATTAAATATTTAGATTCCGTTCGTCCACACTCTGTTAAAGGCGGAAATACGAAGCTCGAACGAGTGTATAAAATCGCATTTCCGAACCGGACCCGGAATTCCTGAATAAAACCCAAGAATAATGAGCACACATTGTATCTTTTACAGCCTTGTGGAGGTTTTTGAAGGTCTTGATAGGTTTTTGAAGGTCTTGTTCCATAGGTTTTTGAAGGTCTTGTTCCATAGGTTTTTGAAGGTCTTGTTCTTGTTCCATAGGTTCTTGGTTTTGAAGGTCTTGTTCCATAGAAGGTCTTGTTCCCCCATCTTGAAGAACTTGCCTTGTTCCAAGGTTTTTGTTTCTTGTTCCATAGGTTTTTGAAGGTCTTGTTTGAAGGTCTTGTTCCATAGGTTTTGAAGGTCTTGTTCCATAGGTTTTTGAATAGAAGGTCTTGTTCCATAGGTTTTTCTTGTTCCATAGGTCTTGTTCCCATAGTCTTGTTCCATAAGGTCTTGTTCCATCTTGGTCTTGTTCCTTGTTCCATAGGTTTTTTTTTTCTTGTTCCATAGGTTTTTTCTTGTTCCTTGTTCCATAGGTTTTTGAAGGTTCCATAGGTCTTGTTCCATAGGTTTTTCTTGTTCCATAGGTCTTGTTCCACAGGTTTTTGAAGGTCTTGTTTCTCATAGGTTTTTGAAGGTCTTGTTAGTCATAGGTTTTTGAAGGTCTTGTTCCATAGGTTTTTGAAGGTCTTGTTCCATAGGTTCTTCCATAGGTTTTTGAAAGTCTTGTAACATCGTCTTATTCACTATTAGTTCATTATCAGTTCTTAATATTGATATTTTTGTTATTATAACTTTGGTGGTTTTCATTTCCATTATTTCTGCGCTTTTTTTCTTCCTTTCTTGTATTCTCCTTTCTTCCTTTCTTTCTCATATTCTCCTTTCTTTCTTATATTCTCCTTTCTTCTCACTTTCTCTCTTATATTCTCCTTTCTTCTTCCTTTCTTTCTTATATTCTTTCTTCTTCCTTTCTTTCTTATATTCTCCTTTCTTCTTCCTTTCTTTCTTATACTCTCCCATCTTCTATTTCTCCTTCTCTTTCTTCGCTCCCTCTTCTCCTTCTCCTCTTCCCTATCTTACACTGATTTGATTATCCCTCTTATCTTCACACTCACCAACGGAACTTCACAACATAATTATCTCCCTAAAGTGACGGAGTCTGGTGTGTTCGAGCAGACCCACTCCAGCAGTCACGCACATGTCTGCCGCAGCTGTGGTGAATGGACGAGGGAGGAGGAGAGGAGAGGGAAGAAGGGTGGGAGGTAGGGAGGGCAGGGGGTGGGAGAGAGGGGTTGGGAGAGTTGGGAAAGTGGGAGGTAGGGAGGGCAGGGGGTGGGAGGGAGAGACGTGGGGAGGTAGGGAGGGCAGGGGGAGAGGGAGGGGGGGGAGTGGAGGTAGGGAGGCAGGGGGTGGGAGAGGGAGAGAGGGGTGGGAAGGTGGGGAGGGCAGGGGGGGGGGCAGAGAGATAGGGATAGGGGTGGGAAGGCGGGGGGAGGGGGAGGATGGAGAGAGGTGGGAGGGCAGGGGGAAGGAGAGGAAGAGGGGGAATGAGGGGAGAGTGGAAAGGGTGGGAAAGGGGGGAGGGCAAGGGGAGGGAGGGAGAGAGGGATTAGGAGGCGGGGAGGGAGAGGGTGGAGATAGGAGAAGGAGGGGAGGGTGGGAGGCAGGGGCAGGGGTTGGGGAGAGATAGAGGGGTGGGAAGGAGAGAGGCATGTGTTGAGAGGTGGGGACGGCGATAGGAAAGGAGAAGGCATAGAAGAAGAAAAGTAGTGGAAGGCGGAGAGAGAGAGGGGAGGGGAATGAGGGGGGAGGGGAGGGAGGGGACACATCGAGAAGGAGAGGGAGAGTGGGTGGATGGGTCGGGGTGGGGGTTGCGTCAGGAGGTGTGGGGAAGAGGGAAAAGTTGGAGGCTCTTCGATCTGCAGAAAGAGGTAAGGGGAAAGAGAATGAGAGAGAGAGGAGAGGAGAGGAGAAGGGGGGCGTCCGAGAATATGAGGGAAGAGGGAAAGAGAAGGGGATGGAGGGGAAGGATGGGGAAGCGTCAAGGTGTGGAAGGAGGGAGGGGGTTAATATAAGAGGGGGGGAAGCCTCGAAGGGGGGGGAAGCGTTAGGGGAGGAGGGGGCGATGAGATGGAGGGGTGGAGGAGGGGGAGGGGGAGGGTGGAGTGACCGGAAGAGTGGGAGGAAAGTGTGGTGGGGGGGGGGAGGAAATACAGAAAAGAGACGAAAGAACAGGTGGGAAGGAAACAGAGATGATAGAATTACCGGAAAGCAAGAGACAGAGGAAATAATAGGAAGAGAAGTGGAGGAAAGTGAGAAAGGTACGCAGTGAAATGGAATGAAAAACAAACAAACAAAAAAACAAAAACAAACGTACAGAGAGGAAAAGAGAAGAGACACATCACAAGGAGAGGGGGAGGAGAGGGGACTTAGCGGGGTGGGGTGGGGGGGGAGTCCCTTTAAATGATATCCGTGGTCAGAGTACTCCGCTATTACGAACACCTGTTTAGCTCCGGCCTTCACCTGGTCGCGGATTGACCCGACTTTGCGATTCATCATCATCCAGACATAGAGGTGACCTTCCGTTGCGGGCAGGGCTCAGTGACGCTCCTGTCGTCTCTGGAGGAGGTCGGGGGGGCTGTGGCGCCGAATCCAATGTCCTGATACTAGTGGATATTAAGGTTTTGATCTGGAAATAAATGTGTATGCGGTGTGAAAAGTGTTCTATAGTGATCTGAACTATTGAACCTCTTGTTTCAGAGATTTTATAGAGACGTTTCAGCCTTACTAGAAAAAAGACTAAGAGAAGGAGAGATATGTTTCAGCCTTATTAGAAAAAAGGACAAAGAGAGAAAGAATTGAAAGAGAGAAAGATTTTATATAATAGACGTTTCAGCCTTATTAGAAAAAGACAAAGAGAGAGAAGGAATAAAAATAGAATAAAGAAACAGTAAGAAAAGTGGTCTCCAGTCCGAAGCGCGGCACAATGGGCGCTGAAGAAGCCTCCGACGGACCGAGCGGGCGAGCGTCTCCCGCGCTCTGAGTCGGAGGAGCCTTCCCAGCGCCGCGGGAGACGGAGCATGGAGTCGGGAGGAGCGCCGTGATGCTCCCGTAGCCGCGGGAGCGAGCGAGAGAGAGAGAGAGAGAGAGAGAGAGAGAGAGAGAGAGAGAGAGAGAGAGAGA